CTAGTTGCACTTTTTTAGTATAAATTTTTCAAATCTATGTTAGAAAAATATACCACAAGTTGATCTAATGTTATTTTATAATTAATAATATTGATTTAACAGGAATCTATAATTATTTTACAAGATTCTTTTAGGTCTATTTATTATTTTAAATTGCTATTGATATATATATATATATATATATATACACGTTATTTTACATCGATAGAAATAATTATATTATTTTTATTTTATTTCCAAAACATTGGTAAAATCAAGTATCATGGGAAAGAAATGATGTGATGTATTACATATAAAAGGGTAACAAAAAAAAATTAAGTATTTTAAAATTAAAAATAATGGTAAATATTAACTAATTTTTTAACTAAAAAATTATGACAAACATACCGATTTCTAAGACAAAAAAATAAATATATTTTTTATAAATGTGCATCTCAAATATATTTTACATTTATCCTTCGCTAGCTCCAATTGATATAGGACATTTATTAATTCTATCATTTTTTTACTTTTTAGTGGAATATGAGTTATAAGCTTTCTTGTTGTGTAGTTTTACCTTTTTATTACGTAGAACATCATTCTTACATCTTGTTTAGTATTAATATTACCTTTTCAGTAGAACATCACTCTGACCTCTTCTTTAATTATTATAATACTAATAAAATATTTAATGACTTTTCAACTTAGATGTATCTTTTTTTTTTAAATTACTAATTATCATAAATTAAATATGTTATATTTTGTATCACTATCAACAATTTTCAAAACAATTAACTGAACACAATATTATATATAGTGAAAAAAAAAATTTAGTTTGATTTGGAGTCATACTTTTACTACAAGAAAATGATGAAATTCCAATGAAAACATATTACAGCGGAATTTCAACAACAGTTCAAACGAATATTTCAACGTTACTATTCTCGTTTAAATTTTTCAATGAAAATTTTAACAAAAATATTTTGTTGCAATCATGATGGTACACTTGAATTGTATTATTCTGCCGGTGTAACACAACCGACTGGTCTCTCCGACTAGTAGATCCCTCTCTTGCTTAGCTCTTTCAGATCCTCTTGCCACCTCTCTCTAACGAGATGTCGAAAGATCTGGTTCAGGGCCACTGGGTCAACGTCCCCCCGAGGTCAGACCAAGGGAAGAAAGGCTCTAGTCGCTTCCGTAGGAGAGGAGAAGACAGGCTGTCTTTCCCCCTTAGACTTTACCTTTTTCCTCCATATCCACCCACGATAGATAGACGATAGATAAGATAGATTTACGATCGATCAAAGCTCGTTCCTCGGGGGTTAGAAAAGAGAGTTAATAGGATGTGACTACTGCTCCCCCATTGTCAAATTCAACAAATGCTTTCCTTGTGCAGATCCATGTTTGTCCAATAGTCCCGAAACAGGCCTCATCCCAAAACAAGTAGCATAAGATATCTATCAAACATTATGGGAAGAATTTTCATAATTTTAGTCATGTCCTCTATTTAGAAAATAAAATTAAAAGAATAAAGACAAATAATGAATTAATTTACAACTCAACCAATTATAATTAATTTCAGCTCATAGCGTTATTAAAGTTATAACATCAAAGCGGTATTCCAACTAAAGAAAATATGATATTTATCAAAGTTTACAATTTTAAGCTCTATTTCTCTCTTTTCTTTTTATTCTTGATGATATCTCATTATCTCTCTTTTGCGACATAATTTTTATCTAATTTTAAAAAATATATTTTATGTCTTTTAAGTGTATGTAGAATTCTAGTTATATATTCATCTATTATATTGTCGAGTCAACTATACTACAACATAAAATTTTTGTTCATAAATTTTTTTTGAAAAATGTATTATGTTCTGGTGATTTTTTTATGTCGAATTGAGAAAAAATATGCTTTTTTTAAATATTATTGAAGTTATTGTGATTGTATTGATGTGTTAAAAAAAATAATACATATGAGAAAGTTGACAAATTATGAAAATTATACTTTATTAATTGTAATGACATTATGCTATTTTGATGCTATATTTTTTGTACTAATTAAATAGTGCTCTTAACATGAAATTATTTTGGATTCGCCATTGCAACTATTTTTTTAATGGAACTTTCATTGATATAATGGTACTACATCGATATAAATTCTTGGTAAAAATTAATTAATTTCAGCGTATAAAGGCATATCATAATTCTCTATATATTTTTAAATAGGTGAGCAATGGTACTATATCGATATAAATTCTTGGTAAAAATTAATTAATTTCAACGTATAAAGGCATATCATAATTCTCTATATATTTTTAATTAATGATGGATAAAAGTACAAATAACTATTGTCTATCATGTAAAACTTACACTTAGAATTAATAAGAGAAAAAAATTAACAAGCGTTTAATAACACCTGAATTGCGTTAAGAAATTGAATCCACCAAAAAGCCCATATTAGCTCTCTTAATTCCTCTAGTAGTGACTCAACTCGTTTACATCGATATTTATTAACTATAACATTTTATTGTTACTTTTTAATATTTATTAATAAGTGTTACAACTTAAACGGATTTTTAATACTATTTATCAAATTTAATACTTTCTTCCTTTATATTGTTATTTATATGTTTATATATGTGTGTGTGTATATATATATATATAACTTTTATATTTGTTAAAAAAGTGCATAAAATTAAATATAGAACCTTTTGGGTCATATGTCTTATTATATATCAATTAATTGTACATAGTTCTATTTTATTATATATAATTATAGTTTTCTCATTCATTACATGAAAATAAATAGACTGAGTTTTTAGTATTATACATTTTCATAAAATTATTCTAACTTTATTTTAAGAAAAGAAATTGGGTTGATTAGAAGTTTAGATTGCAAAACAATCATTCAACAATTAATCTCTCATACTATTACAAAAATTATTAATCCTCATACTATACAAAAATTATTACTTTTTATAGGTTATTTTAAAAGAAAAAAAATGTTTTATACTTTATGGTCTTTATGAGGACAACATAATGGGTTTCAATTTTTTTACTTATAGTTATTAATAATAAATGACTAATGGTGACATATGATATAATTATTGGTAAAAAATAATTAATTTTCAGGCATATCATGATTCTTTAGATATCTTAATTAATTCGTAGATAATTGTATGATCAAAATAAAATCATGCTGCTCAACTAATATCCCATTCGACATGAAAAAAATTGGATCGGGTTTTAGTATTATATAATTTCATAAAATTATTCTAATCTTATTTTACGTAAAGAAATTGAGTAGATTAGAAGTTTAGGTTGCAAAATAGTTATTCAAAAATTTATCTGTCATATTATTACACAATTTATTCTTTTTTTATACTAATATCCCATTCGACATGAAAAAAATTGGATCGGGTTTTAGTATTATATAATTTCATAAAATTATTCTAATCTTATTTTACGTAAAGAAATTGAGTAGATTAGAAGTTTAGGTTGCAAAATAATTATTCAAAAATTTATCTCTCATATTATTACACAATTTATTCTTTTTTTATACGTTATTTTGAAAAAAATATTTTTATAGTTTGTGGTCGTTATGAGGACAAACAAAGAAATTGAGTAGATTAGAAATTTAGGTTGCAAAATAATTATTCAAAAATTTATCTCTCATATTATTACACAATTTATTCTTTTTTTATACGTTATTTTGAAAAAAAAATATTTTTATAGTTTGTGGTTGTTATGAGGACAAACAACATCGATAGTAAATATTTTACTTATGGTTATTAATAAACTTGTAAAATTAAATAAATATTGTTGAAACAGTTATCTTACTTGATAGGATACTTACGGATTAATAAACCCTTAAATTTTATTTTGAAAATCATAAAAGTATTTAAGAATCTTGAATAATATCAATAAATAAAATAATTTATATATAAAATTTTGAATTATAATCGTTTATAGATCGCTCAACTTAAAAATCAATTGATCAAATGAAATAATAATAATAATTAAAGTGTCATGAACATTTTTTATTAATAATTGAATGAAAAATTCATATATTTTAAGTGTTAATAATTAAAAAATTACACAACTTGATTTTAATCACCTAATGGTCACATGAAGATTCGTTAACTCTATTTTATTTAATTAAATATTAGTGATTAACTAAAAATATAAAATTTTGAAGAGTATTAGTGTATTATTAATTTGCCATTAAAAATAAGTAAAAGTAAAAGTTTTTTTAGGTAGTTCATTTATTAATTAAAATATAAAATAAGATGGGTATTATTGTATTACTAATTTGCCATTAAAAATATGTCAAAGTAAGGGTTTTTTAGGCAGGTCATTATTTTTACAAAATCACTCGTCCTTTTATAATAGTATAGAATAGATAGATATAGATAGATAGATAAAGCAAAAACTCCTTGGTATGAACCTGAATCAAATACTAGAGAACAGTACAAACACAACAGTGCTAACATTTTTAAATTGTTGTTCTTAGAACAACTCATGTGGATCATCCTACACCAACAGAACATTTAAAATTCAGACAATAAGAAAATGTTCATCATCTCATCATTCATGAAAAATAAAAAAACAAGCAAACAGGTGTTCATCACCTAAGGCCAACGAGGCCAACTACCAAACACAACAGACAATTAATTGTTTTGGCAAAACAACATTCCATATAAAAAAACTAATAAGTAAGACTTAGCAGACTATCTTCTTCAGAGGAACCTCCACTACCATCATCAACAGACTCCGAACCTGCATCCTCGTCTTCCCCTTCTTCAACAGAGTCCTTCTCAGGAACATTCTCCTCCTCATCAATCTCCTTCACTTTCTTTTTTGCAGCAGTCTTTATCTTCAAGGCAGCAGCAGTAGCAGTCTTCTTAACTTGGTCTCCCCCTTTTGTTTTGGCCCTTTTTCTCCCCTTTTTTCGCTTTATGTGACAAAGGAACATTTCCTTTTAGCCCACTAAGAATCTCCTTGTAATACCTTCTTTCATCAGCTATCCTTTTCTCCAAATTGGCAAACAAGGTAGCCTGTTGTACAACGAATTTTATCTAGCACGGAGGTTACATCAGAGGCTTTGAAAAAGTTAGGAACCTTTTGTTTAACCTTCTTTCCCGATAAAGTCAAAGGCTTGAAAGATGGTGCAAGTTCATCACCAATTCTGAGGTCCAATGGAATGAATAACCACAAGAAAGGGAAGCAACTTATGAGGCTTCGACACATCGACAAATGTTAGAATGCCTTTGGATTCCAGCCAGCTCAGCAAACACGTGGATAATGGACAGCTAGACTCACACATGGATAAGCTGAAGGTTGTTAAACTAAAAGACAAGAATGAAGGAGCACCTAAGGCATGTCCACACTATCAGCCAAATGGAGAGCATCTGCACAGCTTTCAAGATGTACAAGGTTCATCCTTGCCATGCACGTGTATGGTGGAGATCAAGCCGCAAGCTGCAAATGATTGGAACGTTAAGATCAACAGCTAGCTTCGGGTTCTCATTCTGATATATAAAAGGCACCTCTGTACATCATCATTACTTAATGAATATGTGATAGCCGAAAATCTAATGAATTGCTTTATGTTTCTTCATCCATTTTGCATTATTTCTTTCATGGTATCAGAGCATGGTTGAGGCCATGTCTCTGATATCCCCCTTTTCTTCATTTCTCTTTTCTTTATTTTAAGTTCTTTCAAGCTTCATTTTCACCATGGCCGATTCAAGCCATTCCTCTACCTCACTAACTCAGGCAAACCAAACATCTCCATTGATTTTCCCTCAAAGTCAGCTCATTTCTATCAAGCTGGACCATGACAACTACCTGGTTTGGAGACAACAGATCCATACTACCATCAAAGGCTATGGCCTGGAGTCCTTTATCAAGGCAGATGCTGCTCCTCCACCAAAGTACCTGGAAGGAGAAATCACTGTCAACCCGGAGTTTGTCTACTGGGAAAGGCAAGATTCACTTTTGGCTTCATGGATGTTGTGCTCACTTTCAGAGGGAATTCTTGTTCTCATGGTCGGTTTGAGCAGTTCAAGGGAAATATGGGATACTCTTGAGAGGAACTTTGCTAGCCAGTCCAAAGCAAAGATCATGCAGTACAAAATGCAGCTGCAAAATCTTAAGAAAGGAAATTTGAGCATGACAGAATACTTGAGAAAGATTAAGTCCACCTTTGACATGCTGGCATCTGCTAATGAGGCCATATCTGAGAGCAACAAGGTCATGCACATTCTTGGAGGTTTAGGCTCTGAGTATGACTCAGTAGTTGTCACAGTAACCTCAAGGCCTGAGTTCTTTTCCATGGTGGATCTGCAAGCACTGCTCTTGAGCTATGAGTCTAGGCTGGAGTCTAATGGCCCTGGAAATCTAAGCACTGATGGCTCTCAGCCCTCTCTGAACTTTGCATCTCAAGGAAATCAGATCCAGAAGAGAAATTTCAACAATAACTTCAATCATCCTGAGAACAGAAGTAGAGGAGGTTTCACTGGCTCAAGAGGAAGAGGAGCAAGGGGGAATTTCAGAGGCAAAGGTGGCCGTTCTGGAGGAAGGATCACTTGCCAAATTTGTCAGAAAGCAGGACATGATGCAAACAAATGCTGGTACCGTTTTGATTCCAACTTCATGCCACAGAACAACCAAGGTGCTCAGGGTAATAAACCTCCAAATCTTAATGTTGCCCAAGCCAACAGCTATCCCTCATCTGAGACAAGCCAAGAAAGTTCAATGTGGTTTCCAGATTCAGGTGCCAGCAACCACATCACAAATGATTTCAACAACTTCAATATAGCCAGTGACTACTCAGGTGAGCACAAACTGCAATTAGGTAATGGGACAGGTGTAAATATTTTGCATGATGGGAACTCATACTTAAAATCTCCTCTTCATCCCAGAGTTTTTGTCTTAAAAAAATTGCTTCATGTCCCAAATATTACCAAAAATCTGTTGAGTGTGTCTCAGTTTGCTTTAGATAACAAAGTGATATTTGAGTTTCACCCTGATTCTTGTTTTGTTAAGGATCAAGTCACCAAGGAAGTTCTTCTCAAAGGGAGAGTTAGAGATGGCCTTTATCAGTTCAACCTCACCAATTTCAAGCCTCAATCACTAGTCACCAATGATGTTTCTCCTCACTCAGATAGCCTTGGTGTTTTTAGTTTCAGTTTAAATAAAGCTTGTGATCTTGAATTGTGGCACCAAAGAATGGGGCATGTTAGTTATGATATTGTCAAAAGAGCTCTTGAGCATTGTAATGTGTCCTATGTTTCTAATGAAATTTCAGACTTGTGCAATTCTTGTATGATGAGCAAAAGCCATAAACTGCCATACACTCAATCTGCTTCTGAAACCACTCAACCCCTTGAATTGATCCACAGTGACTTGTGGGGTCCCTCACCTATAAAATCTAGAAATGGTTACTCTTATTACTTGAGCTTGATTGATCACCACACCAGATTCACTTGGATATATTTTCTTAAACAAAAATCTGACACTTTGCAAGCCTTTATTCACTTCAAAGCTTTAGTTGAGAACCAGCTTAAGTTTAAAATAAAGACTGTCCAAAGTGATTGGGGGGGTGAGTATAGGAGCCTTTCCAAATACCTACAAGAGCATGGAATACACCATAGAGTATCTTGCCCTTATACACCCCAACAGAACGGTCTTGCAGAGAGAAAGCACAGGCACATTGTAGAACTAGGCCTTGCTATGCTAGCTCATGCTTCTATGCCTATTAGGTTTTGGGATGATGCCTTTGCCACTGCAGTTTTCACCATAAACCGGGTTCCCTCAAAGATTTTAAATTATTTGAGTCCCCTTGAGAAGCTGTTCCATCATAAACCAAAGTACCAGAATTTGAGGGTGTTTGGGTGTCTCTGTTACCCTTGTTTAAGACCTTATAACAAGCACAAACTTGAATATAGATCCTTACCAGGAGTTTTTCTAGGGTACAGCAATGCTCACAAAGGATATAAGGTTCTTATGCCTATAGGAAAGGTAATCATAACAAGAGACATTCAGTTCAGTGAAAAGGTTTTTCCTTTTGCAAGGGAAACCAAAACCTTAACAAATGATGATGGTAATACTAGTCAGTCCTCAGTCAACTCTCCAGCAGTGTTAACTCAGATAGATAAACCAAGACCAAACCCTGTGAGAACCTCTAAGAGTGTTCCTCAAAATGCATCCCCAGTTCACAACACCTCAGCTCAAACCACTCCAAATTCTTCCTCCAGTCATGACACCATACCTCTTGTTATTGAGTTGCCAATCATGCAAGATGTTTCTACTGTTTCTATACCTAACCATTTTGTGCAGGAACAAGAGCACTCCACTCAGGAAGATGAACATGACAATGAGGCTCAGAATGTTCATCCTATGGTGACTAGGAGGAAAGCAGGCATACACAAACCAAAGTTATACCTGGCCGCTGTTGATGATGACTATGAACCAGTTCATTATCATGAAGCAGCAAGACTAAGACAATGGAGAGAGGCAATGACAGAGGAATATAAAGCCTTGGTTCAAAATCAGACATGGACTCTCACTAACCTACCTGAAGGAAAGAACCTAGTGGGATGCAAATGGGTGTATAAGCTGAAAAGACATGCTGATGGTTCTATATCAAGGCATAAAGCAAGACTAGTGGCTCAAGGTTATTCTCAATATGCAGGCTTGGACTACAAGGAGACCTTTAGTCCAGTGGTTAAAGCTACTACAATCAGAGTGATGCTATCTATTGCAGTCTCCAAGTCATGGGATGTAAGACAATTGGATGTTAGCAATGCCTTCTTGCATGGAGATTTGGAGGAGGAGATATTTATGAGGCAGCCACCAGGTTATGAAGTTAAGGGTCAAGAAGACTTAGTCTGCAAGCTTAACAAAGCTTTTTATGGCTTAAAACAAGCTTCAAGAGCTTGGTTTCACAAAGTGCAGAAAGTGCTGACCACACTTGGTTTTCTAAGTTCAAAGGCAGATAGCTCTTTCTTTTACATGAAGAAAGCTCAGAATGTGGTTTTCCTCCTAATCTATGTAGATGACATCTTGATTACAGGAGACAATCATGCCCTTTGTTCATTAGTTATTAGTGAGTTGCAGAAATCATTCTCATTAAAGGACCTTGGGAAGTTACATCATTTTCTTGGTATAGAAGTGACTGAGACTCAACAAGGGCTATTTATGAGTCAAGGGAGTTATATTAAGCAACTTCTGGAAAGAGCAGGCATGAAGAAAGTTAAAGCATCACCAACACCTATGGTGACTGGAGTTAAGTTATCAAAAACAGATGGAGATCCTATAGAGGATGCTAAGTTCTACAGAAGCCTAGTAGGAGCTCTTCAGTATGCAACAATTACAAGACCAGAGATAGCATACAGTGTCAATAGGGTCTCCCAATTCATGGCCAATCCTCTTCATACTCATCTAAAGGCTGTGAGAAGAATTTTAAAGTATCTTGCTGGGACTATAAATCATGGGTTGCATATTACAAAATACAGTGAGCTGAATCTTATTGGCTTCTCTGATGCTGATTGGGCAAGTGACATTGATGATAGGAGATCTGTTACAGGCCTTTGTGTGTATTTAGGAGGAAATCTAGTATCTTGGGGGTCTAAGAAGCAGGCCTGTGTATCTAGGTCGAGCACAGAAGCCGAATATAGAAGTTTGGCTCATTGTGTGACAGAACTGATTTGGCTTCAGTCTCTCTTGAAGGAAATAGGAGTTCAGATTTCAGGCACACCTGTTATTTGGGTAGATAATCAAAGCACAATCTCATTAGCCAACAATCCTGTCTTCCATGCAAGAACAAAACATGTGGAACTGGATATGCATTTCATTAGAGAAAAAATAAGTGAAGGTGTTTTTAGTGTGCAGCATGTTCCCACCAGTGAGCAAGTAGCTGACATCTTTACCAAAACATTGAGTTTGCAATTCTTCACCAAGTTGAAGAGAAGGCTTTTAATCTCAGCTTCACCTAGGCTCGAATTGAGGGGGTGTGTTAGAATGCCTTTGGATTCCAGCCAGCTCAGCAAACACGTGGATAATGGACAACTAGACTCACACATGGATAAGCTGAAGGTTGTTAAACTAAAAGACAAGAATGAAGGAGCACCTAAGGCATGTCCACACTATCAGCCAAATGGAGAGCATCTGCACAGCTTTCAAGATGTACGAGGTTCATCCTTGCCATGCACGTGTATGGTGGAGATCAAGCCGCAAGCTGCAAATGATTGGAACGTTGGGATCAACAGCTAGCTTAGGGTTCTCATTCTGATATATAAAAGGCACCTCTGTACATCATCATTACTTAATGAATATGTGATAGCCGAAAATCTAATGAATTGCTTTATGTTTCTTCATCCATTTTACATTATTTCTTTCAACAAAAGACACAATATTATTGAAGATAACAGACCCAAGGTCAAAATTAAGAATGACCACTCATAATACGATAAATCACCCTCACCTGAATGGGTGTCACACGTTGTTTGTAAGAGGTGGGTGTCCAGTTCAAGGAGCCTAACTTTTGAAGTGCGTTGGCTTGGTCAGTTAGACTCTTTACAAAGAGTCCAGGAGAGATCCATTTAGTTAACTGACGATCAGTAAACACAACTGCCACTTCATCAAGATTATCATCCAAGTGAGACAGAGAATAACCATCACGTAGACCTAAGCACACGTTTATCGCATGGGGTGAGAAATCAACAATGTAGTTCCTAACAAAGACTTTTTGAAACTTCAAGGATTTTGGGTTTGAGACATGACACAGATTAGAGTAGAACTTACCAACTAACCTAGAGCAAAATTTTCCCATAGACTGAACAGATTTATCAAGACCTACCACTTTCAAAAGATCTAGTAGCCCAAGACGTTTAAAGTGAGAAGAAACCACTGACCGTTCACATCTAAACAACATCTGAGAGAAGACATCATTATACCTACACTCAGCAACTGGAGAATAAAATTGATGAGAAAACAGCTTGTATCATCATCACCAAACTCACCACCTTTTGATGGTGATTCCACGAACATCGGAGAGATCTTATCGCCATCAGACATTTCAAACTCGTCAATATCCTTGTCAAGCGAGTCTTACTTGGACACATCATCATCCTTGTGTTCTGGCGATGATTCTCCACCAGAGTTAGCCTAAGGTTCAGGAGCCACAGGAACGTCAACAGTATCAGTGTTTTTCTTTTACTTCTTCGACTTCTCCCCCTCAAGTTTAGAAGGTTTGGTCTTCTTTGACTTTTTGGGAGATTTGGAAGGCACAACAATTTCGGGGACAGAATCAACTTTATCGTCGGTGACTTCGGCAACCACCACCTTTGCATCTGAGTTCTTCTTTGGAACGGGAGAAGTACGGGTCTCCACTGGCTCAGTACGTTGGGTGATATCACCTTCCACGTCAGAGGTTGCAGTTGTTGAAGGAGTTTCTGAGGTAGTCGTTTTGCGTGTTGAGCGCCAAGAAGCTTCCACAACACGCTTCTTCTTTTTTATAACTGGTTTCTTAACGCGAGGCATTTTTTAAGAAGAGGAGAAGGTGAAGAGGAGTTCAAACAGGAAACTTGAGGATTTTAGGGTTTTCTTCAGAAGAGATGATAGATAGAGATATTTAGGTGAATCTGGATGTAGGTTTATTGAAAATGTCTCGGAAAGACCAACTATGAACAGGAAGAGCTACGTCGCTTAAGCTTTTTGCGTTTGAAATTCAAATTGGTCAATACGCAACTTTTCAAATGAATAAAACCCATTCCCTCCAAATTATTCAGTTACCAAACAATCCACGTGACTTGCCAATTACACAGCATGTTGCTTCAGATGAACAAATGATGAAGATCAAGTACCAAAACTAAGTTAGCACATCTAAAGGCATGATTCAACACTTTGGACATCATATACAGATAAGCCTAAATTAATATATATATATATATATATATGTATATATATATATATATATATATATATATAGAGAGAGAGAGAGAGAGGATCATATGAGAATGAAGGATAGTCAAAGAAATGAGAATAAATATGGACCACGGGATCAAGCATATCAATTGGTTAGATGAAGTCAAACTATGGTCAATCATTAATGGCAATCTGGTAATTATTTGATCATATTGTGGTCAAACATGTGTATTTTACCATTACTTAAGGGTAATTTAGTCAATACACATATATCAAGTGACAAGTGGGACCCACTAACCAAATCTTCACCCCACCTTTTCTTTCTCTCCTCTCTCTCTCTCTCTCTCTCTCTCTCTCTCTCTCTCTCCCTCCTCACTGTCCTTTTCCCTCAATTTCTCTCTCCTCTCCTGATCTGAAATCTGAAACTCACACACGCACTACACACACTCACAGACACACACATACACACTCAGAAAATGTGTAAATTGTGCACCCCGCACCGTCGTCTTCTCAGCGGCAGAGCCCGCCACTGTGATTATGCAGCCCGTCGCCGTGCCTCCGCATCCCATCGCTGGAGTCGAGACCAAGGAGTTTCTGACGGAAACCCGCCGCCCATCGCCTGCAATCGTCGAATACCGTCTGCCGTCGCCAACCACAGCCCATCGACACAACCTCACCAAGCCTGTTTTTGCTGATTCCATTTCCACCGTCCTCCACTTCCGTCACCAACTGGCCGACAGATCCCGTTCGCCGGTTGCCCCACCTACACATTCCGACCACCGCGCATCACCAGACCGGCAGTGCGACTCTGCAACCAAATGTTGCACGTATCCAGCTCGGCCGCCGCGGCTCTCCAGCGCTACCACCGCATCTCCCAGACCGGTATCAGCGCCAGTTGTAGCGGCTTTTGGTGATGATTACAGTGGCGGAGACGGCGTTTGTTGACGAGGACGGCGGCGGTGGCGGCGTTTAGTGACGAAGACGGCGGCGGCGGTGGTGGTGGCTGAAGTTGAGTGGCGGCGGTGTCTTTTGTTTTGGGAGGGGGCTGGGTCTGTTTTGTAGATTCAATATGTGTAAGGGACTATTTTGCAATTCCTACACTTTTATAATATGTATATTTTTATTTATGTATGATATTTTATGGTTAAATAACTATTAATTTATGCACAATAATGACACATTAGATGCACATTATTGTGTGTAGGTGTGCACCTTAAAAATAATGTCATATGGATACGAAATTAATAAAAAATTTGATAAATAGGCCATTTTTTACTATAGTGAATTGCAAAAAGGTATGTATAGATATGCTTCTTAATAGTAAAAAATAAATAATCAAAATGAAATGTATAAGTTGGAACTAAAAAATTCGACATAATCGATTTAATTTTTTGGTTAACAAAAATAACCAAAAATAACTGACATAAATTGTATCATTTATTATAAAAAGCATGACTAATGTTTAATTTTTTTTTTATTTGATACTTTATATTTTCTAATTCAAAATTTAGTATTTGTGTGAATGAAATATACCGTGCAATGTAACATTTATTAAAGTGCAATTTGTTCAACACTACGGTGCATGGTGTCGGTCTGTATTGTGCAGATTGAACCAACCGAACTTTTGTCCCAAATCAAATTGAAAAAATGAACATAGTCAATTGGTTTATTCGGTCGAATAACCAGATTTAATTGAAATAATTTGTTGTTTATATTAAAATTATATTTAATATATTAACAATTTTATTTATTATTTTTTGTTGAAGAAAATTGAGTTCAGTCGGTTTCGATCTCTAAAGTGCAATATGTTAATCGTGATAAAGTGCAACGTATTATTTATAAAATGCAATATGTTGTTTTATAAAGTGCAATGTGATAATCACGTATAAGTCGAACTATAAAGTGCAATGTATTCTTTTATAAAGTGCAATGTGTTGTTTTATAAAGTGCAACGTTATAGAGTATAAGTCGAACTACTGTAATTATTAAAAATATTTATAATTATAAATAATATTTGTAATTATTAAAAACACCCGTTATAATTTACGAAATTACATAGAGTTGTTCATTAGTCGGTTCAATTTGTTCATAAATTTATCCAAATACCAAGATGTTCCCTTAAAAGTACATATGGTCTAACATTATCCTGTAGTATGACAATCACTAATGTGCATTTTGTTTAATACTATTGCACATTACTACATGTTTTATAATCGAGTTATTTGTCTAAATAAAATTAACCTACATAATTTAATTAATTTATTATTTATATTATAAAATATATCAATATTTTGATTTTTTTAATATTTTAATATGTATTTTTTGTTGAAAATGGATAGTATATATACATGTATAAAAAATACACAAAAACAATATTGGTTATATTTTTATCATAAATTTCAAATTATACCCAACGACTAAATTGAAATTTGATAAAACTCTTAAATTTGCAATTGGACCCTTTCAAATTATCAAATTCTCAAACAATAGACCCACAATTCAAATTAAATTCAGTCTCGTTCCTTGAAATTGGACAGCGACTGTGTGTGTGTGTTGCGAGCCGTGTGTGTGTGCCGGCGGTGGCGGCGGAAACGGGTGGTGGCGGTGTGTTTCGACTATGGATTCAATTCCTTTCAATGGAAATCGGAGCGCAGTCCGCGGTCGCCGGAATCCTTCAGAGACAGTGCAGTCGGTGGCGATGTGGGCAAAGTTATGGTGGAGGTCGGACGGGGATGTGAGGCGGAGCCGGTGGAGATCGGGCGGCCGACTTGTTTCTGTGGATCTTCACGGCGGGCGGGTGTCGGGTGGAGGACCGGCGGAAGCATGGTAGCGGACGGGCGGACGTCTGGTGGCAGGAGGGCGTCTGGTGGAGGACGACGGATCGGCGATTGATCTTTTACCAGCGGTGAGTGAAAGAGATGCAGTGACTGTGTTGGTGTGTGATGTGTGTGTGTGTGTGTGTGTGTGAGAGAGAGAGAGAGAGAGAGAGAGAGAGAGAGAGAGAGAG